ACGTATAATTTTACCTTAACCCAGATTGTCTGAAACCGGGTTATAACACTTTACAACTTGAAGAAAACCTGGATGTTCAGTCAAGAAATTGTCAAATTTAAATCCATGCCTTTTTTTCTGAATGCCGCATCTGAAAGAAACCGTCACTGGAGTATGATCCGAAAGACCCGAAGGATGAAAATGAACACCCACATCTTGAAAAACAGACGTGAACTCATCATTGCCCATAGCTCTATCCAGTTTACGCATGATACCCCCCGAAGAGTTCGGTTTTTGGTTCCACGTGAAATGGACGCCCGTATAATGTAAATCAAATATTTCCACATCCTCTACAAACGCATAAAAATCAGCCATATCCAAGTTACGACGAGAGGAGCCTCCAAAACCATCAAGAGGGAATAACATGGTGTTGAAATCCCCCATTACAACCCACGAGGAAGAACCAATGAGCACTTTAAATTTCCGCAGCCCCGACCATAAAGCACGACGGGCATTACATACATTAGCCCCATAAACCAAAGAAACAAAAATATAATGTTGACTACCCCGAACAAGCTCCTTACAATTTAAGTATTGACTATGAGCCTCTAAAACCATGACATCTAAAACTCGAGCATCCCAAGCAAGGATTATACGAGTACCATACTCACTCATAGTTTGATTAGAAACCTAATACCACTGACCGAAAAAGTTATAGCAAACACTTTCAAGAGAGTCCTTAGAAACATGTGATTCGACATTGGAACATAAACACACATCATTACAATGAATAAAATTCCGTACCTCTTTTTGTTTAACCGGAGAATTAAGCCCCCGGATATTCCATGAAGCAAATTTCATCATGAGGAAGGGTTTAGACTTTCTCCTTGCTCCCGATTATTTCGATTATCCCCCTGAACGTCAGTCAGATCGGTTCCCATAAGTTTTCTACTTGAATTTGCACACTTTTGGCTTCTCCACCATTTATGTTTGGGATTTCAACATCGATTTTCCGTTTTAGATCACCCATAGCCCAAACCTCAACAAGAACTTTAGCAAAACCAGGGCGGCCCCAAGTTTTTTCACACATTGAAGCAGTGCAAGAATCCATTTGCTTAGGAATACCCAAGACACTTGCAATACGACTAACCCCCTCTTTATTGAAAGCAACTAAAGGAATGTTATGAAGTTTCACCCATAACGGACATGAAGAGTGTTCCGGTTTCTTTAACCCTTTGGAAGGATCCCAACGATGGACAAACAAAGGAACACCTCTAATCATCAGCGGCCCAGCCTCAATCACTTGATCACATCCACCGACATCATTAAATTTAAAGAAAAAAAATGCCATTCTCATTAAGCATCGCGTCCAAAAATCCAAATTTTCCCCACGCCATTTTAACAAAAATTTTCACAAGCGGAAATGGGATACGAGGTCCCAAGAAATATCCATATAAAACTGAATTATAGGCTTTTGCGGCTTCCTTCGCCAATTCAAGTGGAATAGAAACACTAACCTGTTTTTTGTCCGCGAGAGGATAAAAGTTCAGATCAGTGGCCACAGAATGGCCAACCGCTTTAGCAAAGTTAAGGTTAGTGCGACCACCACTACCCAAGCCATTAGTCCGATTTTCATCCAAATTCTGCTCCACAGAAGAAAGACGTTCAAAAACTGAAACCCTATTTGTGTCTGAGGGAGGATTAACATCACCCATTACACCAGTTAAGAAGCCGTGATGCTGAAGTTCACTTTAAGTACCCAAGTTAATTATACGAAGACCCCGTAAAGAGGTGCTGAATAACCACTAGGAATACTCTCAGAAAACAACGAAGATCACATAAACACTTAACCAGCACAACTGGGGATTAAAATCTAACCCAAGAGATGAACACGGCAACGAGACAATAGGCAGCACCAAAACGATCACATAAAATCACACAGAACAGTCCAAGAAAACCAAACACCAGCAAAAAAAAGACAGCATATCGCACTAATCTTGATAACCAACAGCATCAAAATTCATAAACCGGCAGCAGCCAAAAAAATCAGCAGTAAAGATCAAACAGTAGATCTAACCCTGAAAGTCAACCAGCTCAAGAATTCTAAGTCCAGGAGACAGCCGTCAACAAACTCAAGCCGTAGGAAAACCCAACAGAAGCAGCAGCAAAATGCCTCTAAACAACCGAAAACACCAATTTGAATGGGATAATATTATGTGTTTCTTTTGTATGAAATATGTGTTACATGCAATGTATGGTTTGGGGGTGTTACAGAAGTGGTATCAGAGCCTGA